CAGCCCTGCCTCCCTCTGCCTCACTCTCCTCCCACCTCCCTCCCTCTCTCTCTCCCTCCCTCGCTCTCGCGCTCTCTCTCCCTCGCTCTCTCTCCCCCCTCTCCCTCGCTCGCCCTCTCTCTCTCCCCTCTCTCTCTCTCTCTCTCGATCTAAAAGCGCCCCGTTTGCCTCTCATCTGTTTCCTCTCTGCCTCGTTTCTGTCAATCATTCTAATATGTCTGCGTGTTAGTGATTTGTCTCTCTCTTTAGCACTGTGTTTTGTCCAAGACAGCCTACCTTTGTCTTTTTCTTCTCAACTCCCTCCATCCCCCAAAGCGGATTCCCTGCTTTTCCACCCAAAGATCACACCTCCTCCTCCCTCCTCATCTCCTGTCTCTCCCCATCTCCCGTCTCTGATAGGACCCTCTCTTTGTGCTCCGTTCACTCATGCTCTTTCGTTTTGTTGTGCCTTCTCTCAGCTCTGTTTCTCCGTTTAGGTCTCATTCTCCTTCATATGATGTTTCCTTTAAAATCAGACCTTCTCATCTTGTCTGTGTCTCTCAAACAGAGTCAGTTTGTGCCAGTAACACACACACACTCTCTCTCTCTCACACACACACACACACACACACACACAAACTTCACACTTTCTCCATCTGTCTGCTCTTGTTGAAATGATCCAGCCATCTGAGACATTGAAGAAGAAAACATTAATGTTTGAATAAGGATCAGAGATTTCTAACAATTACTTGTAACATTCTTAATTAATTCACACACTTGTCCTGCAAAGTTCAGAGTACCATCCTATGCAACTAACATGACCAGGAGATTACAATGAGAAACTCCTGACCAGACATCTGCTCGAGGTCACCAAACCATTTCACTCAATGAATAACTGGAGCTCATATGTGACCTCATTTATTGTCCTGGTGTTCGTGACAGTAGGCTCGGAGATACCACCCGATCTCCTGGATCTTGCGTTCGGTCTGGCCGTTGGTTTTGGGAAGATAACCTGAGGAAAGGCTGACAGACACTCCCAGCAGACGGAAGAAACCACGCCAGACCCTGGATATGAACTGCGGCCCTTTATCTGAAACGATATCTTCAGGGAGACCAAAGTGTCAAAAGACATGCTTGAAGAGAGCTTCGGCTGCCTCCAAAGCAGTGGGTAATCCACGTAAGGGAATTAGTTTACAGGTTTTGGAGAATTTATCCACCACAACAAATATGATAGTGAATCCGTTAGAGGGTGGAAGATCAGTGGCGGGGCTTGTCGGGGATTGAGACGTTTAGCTTCACGGAGGTATTGGAGGTTCTTGTGATCAGTTATGACTTCGAAGGGATGTTGAGCCCCTTCCAACCAGTGCCGCCACTCTTCCAGCACGATTTTGATAACCAGTAACTAGCGGTTCCCGATGTCGTAATTTTGCTCTGCGCGACATCTTCTTGGAGAAGTACACGCGCATGGATGGAGTACGGAGTTCACCCTTCCGTTGGGATAATACTGCACCTACTCCTAGAGTGGAAGTATCCACTTCCACCATGAACTGATGGTTCGGATCTGGATGGGTTAGGGCTTGAGCGGTGCAGAAAGACGATTT